CGTTATAAAAAAAAAACATGTGGGCTCCCCCAAAGTCCACGGTTTAGTTCGAACACTACAGGGCATCATCACAATATGGTAAGGGGCATAACATTTTCGTCAGACACTTGAGGTATTTGGCCAATCACAACGCACTGGATAGCTGGCCAATCACAGCACACCTCGCTTTTTCAGACCGATGAGCTTTGTAAAAATCGACGTGTTTCAGAAAGGCGGGGCATAGAGGAGAAACAATAATGTACAGTATGTGGAAAATAATGTGTTTTTTTTTAACCTTAAACCGCATAAACACATTTCATTACACCAAATACACAAAATAATGTTCTTTTTAGCAGCATCATATGACCCCTTTAAAAAATGCCCTGGCTCTTCCAAGCTTTATAATGGCAGTGAATGGGAGTTAAGATTTTGAAGCCCAGAAAAGTGCATCTATCCATCATAAAAAGTACTCCACACTCTCCTGGGGTTTAATAAAGGCCTTCTGAAATGAAGTGATGTATTTAGTTAAGAAAAATATCCTTATTTAAAACTTTATAAACTGTAATCTCTAGCTTCCGCTTACTGTCGTACACGCGTTCACGAGAGAGTGGCACTTCAGCAGATGACGTAGGACATAGGCAGTAAGCTTTATAAAGCATGGCTTGTTTATAAAGGATGGCTTGAGGGTGAGTAAATCATGGGGTAAATTTCATTTTTGGGTGAACTACATTTTTGAAATACACAACACGACTTTTAAAGTCTGACTTTCAAGTTGTTCCAAACACAAGAACCTCAAGCAGAAGCACGTGCGTTGTTGCTAGGAGACGTGTGAAAAATAAAAACAATGTGTGTTCTAAAATCGGTTCAAAATATCAAACATTTCTGATATCCTCCGACTGGATGGAATCATAGTCTGAAGCTAAAAAGCAGAGTCTGTGACCATACACTACGTGATTTTCTATGAAATCTGTCAACTCAAAACTGGAGACTGTCTCGGCAACTATAGCGTCAACTTGTCCAGACTGTAAATCGGGGAAAAAATCTGAGTAAAGTGCAGTGTATTCCAACCTTAAGTTTTACTTTAACACTCATTCATATGAAGCGCAGATGAAGGCCAGCTGATACACTCTGTTAGACCTGCTTGTTGGGTCTTGGTATTTATCTGTCGATCGGGCCTTTTCTCTTTTACGGTGCGGGGACGCCAGTATCTGTACATTTCTAATTCGAGGCAGGAAATGTTTATTGGCATTTGATTGGGTGGGCCTTTGCTGTGACTCTGGGCACATTTTAAACAAACTATTTCAGCATCCTGTTTAAACTCGCTTTCATAGCAAAAGGACAAGCAGGGCAGGCTGGCCCACAATTACATAAGATAACAATGAAATCATGATTTCAATTAAAAAACATCAGCATATTATTCATATCATAATATAATAAAACAATAATAAATAACATAATATGAGTATTATAATGTGTTCCTGTGGCTCAGTGGTAGAGCATTGCGTTAGCAGTGCAAAAGGTTGTGGGTTCAATTCCCAGGGAACACACATACTGGTAAAAAATGTATAGCCTGAATGCACTGCAAGTCGCTTTGGATAAAAGCATCTGCTAAAATGCATACATTTATTTATTTATTTTTATATCACTAAAGTGAGGGAGTTGTATGAGGCCTGTAATGGCTGAAAATGTCACCTGCACATCACTTCTGCTCCTTCTTGTCTAAATTCTGAGGGAAGAAACAGGTAGCAATGAATATGGAATGAGACTGACTTAATATTAAAGAAAATATTCTCCACACCCCAGAGCCTTTTTTTTTTTTTAACAGTATGTCTGAATCTTCTGAACTGCAACATGCAAAATATGCAACAAAAAAAAAAGGCAGTATGAACTCAATCATCTCCCTCACATTGCATCTGAAATATCCTCCTGTGTTTATTCTGGGGATTTTCTCTTGTTTTCAGAGACTTCTTTTTTAATTGTTCAGATGGCAATTCTTTGAAGTATCCTTTTCCATTGTTAAGTTCGTTTTTGCAGAAAGCTGCAAATCGAGTTCTCCTTACAGCCAAATGAACATCTATGAGTATGTGTGTTCACAGTTCAGCATATTTCCTGAGCTGATCTTTATGTCTGCTGACTAGGACATGAGTCACATAGCTGGACTAGCAGTTTGTGTGGGTTTGATATACATCTTGATTCTTTGAAATGATGTGCATGACCCACTGGAGATAATGAGACATATTCTATTCAGCCATACAGGGCAACGGGTTCATGATTTCAGAAAACAGCTGCTGGATGCTGGATGTGTCTTCTCTCATTGACTCTGAACTTTCCAACATTTATATTCTATTCTACGGCCTTGTCTTTTAACCCCAGTTGCAGTTAATAGTTGGATTTCATAAAAATTATTTTTATTTGAAAGTGCATTCCCCTAAATCTGAACCCTTTAGGGCTGAAAAATAAGAAACAGATTAAAAAAAAATAATTAAAAAAAAATGGACTGAAAATGATTTTTATGACTTTTTATGGTCCTGTTAAAGGTTCTTGAAAGTTGCAGATGGAAAGCTGTATTAAAATGTAAATGGAACAAATGACTTATAAAGGGATAGACCATCCAAAAATGAAAATTTGCTGTTAATTTACTCTCCCTCAGGCCATTCAAGATGTAGATGACTTTTTTATTCAGTAGAACAGTAAAGAAGATTTTTAGCTGAAACCTTGGTCCTTTGTGATTCACAAAATGCTGGTCAACGGCTACCGGCACGTTGAGAGTTAAAAAAAGCATATACAAGCAACACAAACTATATATAGATGTCTTATGAAGCTTTTTCTTGTGGTCTGTGCAATAAACTGAACATTATTTACAACATTATTACCTGTAATCCATAGCCTCAGCCTAACTGGAGTGATGTCCGGTTTGCAAACAAATCGTTCTTTTGAAATGGTTCTTTTTCGCCAAAATTTTCTATACTTTATTGAGATGTTTCCTTGTAATGGTTCAGTCAAAAAAAACTCTATTGATTTTTGAATCAGTATGAATCAGTCTAACTTCTCAGCCTAACATTATAATGTCTATCTCAAAAATAGTGTTGTGTTTTAGCTTTTTTTATTTGTATAGTAGTTATATAGTAGGCAAAAAGACCCTCAAATTTCCATCTCAAGAGTTTTAAGAATGTGTAAATTCCTTGCAATTCCAATTCCTACTTGTATGTAGACACCAAATGAAGTCTTTGATTTCAGGGTGCCGTAATGTTTGCTTAAAGAAGAATACTTCTGAACAAATGAGAAATCGCTCGAATTAAACTACTAGCAAAGTTATTGAGTTAAGCAATGAACCTGTTTCCTCTGTTTCTTCTCTTTAGGACCATTTGTTCTTCGTCATGGAATATGTGAACGGCGGAGACCTGATGTTCCAGATCCAACGTTCACGCAAATTCGATGAAGCTCGTTCCCGGTTTTACGCTGCTGAGGTGACCTCAGCCCTCATGTTCCTGCACCAAAATGGGGTCATTTACAGGTAAATTCATTGCTAGGCAACTGACCACTGAAAAAGGACAAAGGTCAAACAACATTCAGGCAGTGTTTGGTTCCAAACCATAAACTTCTTCTGTTTGTGTCACTGATAGACATAGTATCATTGTTAAGCAGCCAAAAGAATGCAATGTCTTGAAACGCCTCAGCCAAAATACCATTGTAACGCACAAAAGATGCATTCCAAATCTAGTGAAATTTTAGCCTGATCATTTTTGGATGGAAAATTAGCCATCCGTTCCAAGTGTTTGCTCAAGTTTAATCCGGAATCCAGATCATTTATTTTCTCAGAGGGCTGTCACGCAATCCTGAACAGATTAGGTCTGAAGCGAATCAAATGGAGTCTGTATCACATGAGCTGGCTCTGGCATGGTACGTTGAATCTTTACGAGCTATTTTGCCTAGAGACAGGAGCCCTTGTCTGCCTTGTTTACCTCAGGTTGTTTACTTTGATGAGCTATGTGCAATGATTTATTCGTTCCCAGACAGTTTGTTTACCTTCTCAATTGTGTGTCATTAACCACACACAACGGGCAGTGCTTCTGGGGCTGGAAGGCCAGGCTTTCCTTGGGATCATTTTGATCTATCACTGGGTTTTTTTTACTGTGGAATCCATCTTAACTGTCCAAAAATATCATAAGTTTGCATGTTGTTTACGCAGCATTATTCTGTAGTGCTGGCGTCATACACATGACATTTTACAGTGAAATTACATGCATGACATCAACACTACAAAATAACGCTGTACATGAGAACAGAATCTGTTATACAGATTGCAATACAGATTTCATTGTAAAATCATATGCATGATGCCAACACTACAACGTAAAGCTGCACATAAACAACATGCAAACCTATGATGCTTTTGGAATTTGTAATACGGATTAATTTGTCATTCCAGTATGAAATTGTTTGTTTGATGCCAGAACTTCAAAATAAGTCTGCATGTAAACAACATGCAAACCTGTTATGTTTTTGGACTGTATGACAAGAAAATGACAAGCTGAATCTGTAAAATGACAAATGAATCTGTAATACAGATACATTTGTATTTGTCATTCTGCTATAAAACTGCATGCATGATGCTAGAACTACAAAATAAAGCTGCATGTAAACAACATGCAAACCTATAATGTTTTTGGATAGAATGACAAGAACATCACAAGCTGAAACTGTAATGACTAATGAATCTGTAATACAGATTCATTTCCCATTTCGCTGTAAAATCATATATATGACTCCAGCACTACAAAATTAAGCTGTATGTAAACAACATGCAAACCTGTTATGTTTTTGGACAGTGTGACAAGAAAATGACAAGCTGAATCTCATGACATCCGTTCATGTCTCTTACCCACCTCACAGTCGTCTGACCCCTTGTTTATGGTTGCGACTGCTGACATGACGTTCCTTTGGCAAGAAAGTGGACAGGATGTGATGTGCTCAATATGAATGGCTTATTGTGTTATAAGAATAACAGCACACACACACACACACACACACACACACATACATGGACTTCCAGTTATACACCTCAAATTCAGCTCTGGCGCCAGTTCTGTCAATTACCTGATGGTGACGACCAGACCATGACACGCTGAACTAGTGCTCTGCCATCACTGAAGGTCATTTCATGCAAAGCGTACTGGGAGATTGATTGATCAGAAGGCCTATCTAATCTGGCTCTGGCTCTGCTCTGGCCCAGCACAGGAAAAAACAAAGGAAGCATAAATTGTGCAGGTACTCCATACAGGAGATAGGGTTCGCAAAATAATATGGTGTCCTGGAGACCAATTTCCCACTAGGTACATAAAACATTTCACTCATCTGTCTGTCTGTGTGAATATATGTTATAAGGGAAATTGTTCAATATTGTGTATAGGGCAGACTGGAGTTAGTTGTCACATTGGGAAACTTTTCACACATCTTAAGCTATAAGGAATTTAAAAAAAGTCCAATTATGCATGTGTATATTTACTATCAGTGATTTTTGTTGGTTCCAAATATCTAAATCAAAAGCATAGTTTTTTATTTCTTTCTTTTTTCCTCCAAACTAAAATTTGAATTTCATCATCGTTTTTTTTTTTTTGCCATAGCTGTTGGATAAAAAATTGGATACAATAAAACCACACTGACAAGTTAACTCAAATTAGAGTGCTTATGACACAGGTCAGGGCAAGTGGTCCCTTTTTTTGGACAGTTATTAAATTGATTTAAGTTTATTTCTTGTCATTTCAATTGGCCAAAGCAATGGTATGATATTTTGCATGTTACTTATAATTGATTTATATACAGGACTGTTGAAAAGTTTAGGGTTGGTAAGCTTTTTTAATGTTTTGAATGTTTCTTCTGCTCACCAAGGCTGCATTATTTGATCAAAATACAGTACAACAGTAATATTCTAAAATATTATTCCAATCTAAAATCACTGTATTCTATTTGAATATATTTTAAAATGCAATTTATTCCTGTGATGCAAAGCTGAATTTTCAGTATCATTACTCAAGTCTTCAGTGTCACATGATACTTCAGAAATCATTTTAATTCTAAGATGCATTCTAAGATTTGCTATTCAAAAAACATTTCTTATTTTTTATCAGTTGAAAACAGTTTTGTCACTTAATATTTTCGTGGGAACTGTGATACTATTTTTTTTCAGGATTAAGGTGTTCAGTGAAGGTTGTCTTTTGAAGATTTTAACATTTTTAGTGACGAATGTGGTAAAAAAAAAAAAGTGTGACATTAACCCTGGTCACCCCTAAATCTGATCACCCTGCTAAAAGCAAGCCATGAGCCATTGTCATCATAGCTTCGAGCGTGGCACTTAATGTTAGGTTGCTTCAGTAATAAGTTTAAGCAGAGCTCTATGACGACATCATGTGAAACTTGTGAAAATTTCTACAGGTTATAAATAAAGTTCCCAGATTATTCCCCCTTTGGTCTTTGGTCTCATTCTGAATGGCATCCTTGCGTTTTGGGAAAGCCCTACATTGCAGGAGACCTGCATGTCGGAACACAGTCTGCATGTTAACGCTTCTGCATGCAAGCACAGGGCAGAACAGCATTTTTCCCCCATGAGAACCAATTTCACCTCACTGTAACCTGCCACACATACCTAAAAAAAAACTAAATGCAGAACATTCTAGAACAAAATGTGCAGGGGCAGCTTTCTTCTCCCTATCAGGGAAGGACATGGTGGCAGTTTTGACTGAAACCACAGAAGTTTGATCTGCTTAAAGAGGACATGTTTGAGCTTGACTTCCCTGCTGTAGATTGCAATTGGCTGCTTTGGTTGTTTGTTCGGATTCAGCGCTCTAAAAATAGATAGTAAGAGCAGGTGGCATAGATCCTCTGCTTGATTACCCATCTTTTGTTGACCTGTTCACTTTCATACAGTACGTATCCTTGTGATCCTCTTTCTGTAAGGGTTAATTGATATGTATTAAACCAAGAGCACATTCAGAGAAAAAATAGGCTCTTACTTTAGTAAAGCAAGGTCTTCTGTGTGCTAAGTATGGACTAAGAAGCACACTTACAGCCCCTATAATTGCTAATCACTGTAACCTTGTACGCAATTTGTGTTTTACACGATGATTGGTTGATTTTTGTTCCTTTCCGTTCACGTATATCAACAGAAAAACGCCAATCTCGTTTCTTGGGCACTGCTCTGCAGGTGACCTGGGCAGCTAGTTGCTGTGTAATTTAGTTATAAAGAGTATTTTCTTCACTGTTATGCATGAATATTAATTAGATCATGCGGACGTTGCTTGATAAGCTTCCAGGAGTGTCCGACTAACTTAGTATCCCTGTGCAAAGTGCTCACCTTGGTAGGGTAGGTAAATTACAGGTAAATGTACAGACATCTGAGAAGATATACTGATAACAGTCCATCAACTAGCATTACATAATGCCTAATAGATCATTAGTTAAAATGCATACACAAAGTAATGAAAGTGATGAAATTTCTCAGTGCATACTTGTGTAAAATGTGTGTGCATGCATTTGTGTAAATTGTACCAATGTTAAAGTATTTTAAACTTTAAACTTTAACTTTAAACTTTTCTGTTCCATGAAATTTGAACTTTAAAGGGTATGAGTGGTGCTAAACTAATATTTTAGCATAGAGCTGTCTAATGTGATATATATTATGTATAAAATATAAATATAATAAATATTTATACACTAATGTTTTTTATTTATTTATTCGATTTTAATCTATTAAATTAGATTTTTTTTGTTTTAAAACAATTTAAAATAAATACAATTATTACAGTTTAAAATGAATTTTTAGCATCATTACTCCAGTCTAATCATTTTAATGTGCTGATTTGCTGCTCAAGAAACATGTCTTATTATTATCAATGTTAAAAACAGTTGTGCTGCTTAATATTTTTGTGGAAACAATTAGACATCTTTCAGGATTATTTGATACATTTAAAAAAACAGCATTTATTTGAGAAATAAATCTTGTAACACTATTATCACTTTTGATCATTTTTAAATGCATCCTTACTGAATATATGTGTTATATATAAAAATCATTAGGATATTAAGTAAAGATCATGTTCCATGAAGATATTTTGTAAATTTCCTACCGTAAATATATTAAAACATAATTTTTTTATTAGTAATATGCATTGCTAAGAACTTAATTTTGACAACTTTAAATGCGATTTTCTCAATATTTTGATTTTTTTTTGCACCCTTATATATATATATATATATATATATATATATATGCATATATATATGCATATATGTGTGTTTTATTTTAATTTAAATTAATTTTTATTTTAATTTAACACACACACACATACACACACAGTGATTTGTCATTCTATATATTTGCACACAATGGTAATATAAAATATATGGTATTTAATAGATATTAATATTAAATGTATAATTATTAATTATTATTATTAGCAAAATGTTTCCAATTTTCTTACATTATAATAAAGAGGTATACGTCACATTGGTTTGTGGTTTGTTGTAATGGAATAGCGTCTTGTCCTTGCATATTTT